GGCTAACTTATTTCTACTATATCAACTATTTAATTTTGGACAGATTTTTAAGTTTCACAGGTAAAATTAGAACAGAACTTAAATTTTGAACATATTACATGAACCTCCTTCACTAAGTTTTAAACCTTTCCCCTGCTTTTAGGGAACATAATTGCATAATTCAAACTCCTTCAATACTGTGACCTAGTTCCTTCTCTTGATGTTATAAACGGCTCATGTAACTATGGTAACCATCTAGGGAAAATTGAATGTTTTTTTGGTCAGCATTATGCAAAGTATACCATGTGTTATTTTTTCTCTGTAATAATCAAGGGGATAATGTTTGCTTTTTTTCTTGGATATGGGAATATTTTATTTAATTATGCCAAATTTTCTTCTGACAACAGTCCTAGTCATTCACAGTCCCTTCATTAAAATGTTTTAGGGTTGTTACAGTTAGTCATTATTCTAAATGCTGAACAGTATAATCCAAAGTAGGAATATATATATATATATATACTAAATCTATGCCATTTATCTCATTTATCTCATAAAGTACACATATAGCTTGGCATTGCTTAGATTTCTAATACTTGATCTAGAGTATCTGATGTTTTTCTATGTGTCCTTCAGTTTTAGCCAGTGTTTTATTAAAGCAAAACAATGTTAGAATGGAATTACAGGGCTGGAGAGATGGCTCAGTGGTCTAAAGCACCTACTTAGAACAAGCTTGGCAAAGCACAGGGACCATGGTTCGATCCCCCAGCACCACATGCCGGCCAGCCACGCCCCCTGGTGGGCTGAGCTGGCCACACACACACACACACACACACACACACAAATAAATAAATGTTAAAAAAAAAAAAGAATGGAATTACATCGTGGGTATACGCTTAGATATTGGAAAGTTATCTACAATCTGGTGATTTTTATTTATGTTTTCTTTACTTTCAGTGAACTAGTATGTATTAGCTATACTTCTATAATAAAACAATTAAAATTTTTTAAAACTTACCTCAGGAGAGCTACAGATCAGGGGTGGCAAACATATGGCATGTATGCTACTGTGTTTTCAAGACAAAGGACATTAATATATGAATATTTTTTCCAAAACTAAAACCTCAGTACTTGGGCTTAATTGCAGTGTTGGCACTTTGTAATAAATACGTGGATCTTGGAATGCAGTTGGGCACTCATCTCTAAAAGGTTTCTTGTCACTGGTGTAGACTATTATTTTATTATTTTTTGTACTAATGAATTAAAGTTTGAGGCTTTTTTCAGGATAATTTAAAATGCTTCATTGGACCTTGTAGAACCAATTACATTCTAATATAAGCTCCTAGAATATTAAGGATTTATTTACATTTACAAATAAATTTCTACAGTAGGTTCTCAATTGGTGACCTTTTCATGAGTTCATTTTTAATTTGTCCATATTTATAATAGTGCTTTTCAACAATCCAACTATCTTCCTTAGAAAAACATTTCTATCTACTTTATTGAATTAAATGAGGAATAACTGTCTTTTACTGGTTTAGAAAAGACCTCACTAAGCAGATGAAATGTGTCACTTATCTGGATCCTGTTAAACCAAATGTAAAATGATTAGCCTGAATTTTAAATAAGAAAATTATGCCTCCACAAACAATGAGCTAAATAAACCTCCTTCTCCTCAAAAAAAAAGAAAAGAAAGAAAATTATGATAATAGGATGATAGTATTATGGCTATTTAAAAAAAAGTATCATAATGTTCTTTTTTTTTTTCTCAGCAGTCATTTAACTAATAATATGGGGCTAGGTTTTCTGACTCTCCTAAATGCAAAATATAAAAATCCCCAATTCTATACAAAACGGAAAGTAACTGAAGATATTTAATCATGTGAACAAAGCAAAAAGGCATCTTATTTGTTCTTTAATATATTTTCCATTCTGAAAGCAATACTGAAAAAGTAACTGATGCCCCCAAAGTGTTTAAAACTGCCTTTTATTTCTAAATCAGTTCCTTGAAGAGGCCTCTGGAAGGAAATGTTTATGTCTTCAAACTTACCCCTGTATCCCTCAGTGACACTGTGAGATAGGACAGAAACAACTTCCAACTGATTGAAGATAAACTAGAAAATACTTCTGATGGGCCGGGGAGATGGCTCAGTGGAATAAGCGCTCCACTGGCAAGCATAAGAGCCTGAGTTCAATCCCTGGTTCTGCCAAAAATAAATAAATAAATAAATAAATAAGAAGCTCTGAAAAATTCCTATGGCTACCTCCTGAGTAAAGCTGGTTTCTGCTTGAGTCAGATGAATTAATTTTTCACTCTTCTTTGGTGTTTGATATTTTAAAAAACTTTTATGTTGGCAATTTTCTAACACAAAAGTATCCTATATACCATTCAGCAGGCTTCAACATTTATCAACATATGGCTATTAACCTATAAGCCTCTACTCTTCTTTATCCTTACAGGATTATTATAATTTCACCCCTCACTTCTGTAAATATGAGTTAAGAGATTGACAGCTTTTTAAAACATACCCACAATACCCTTATCCTACCTCACAATTTTCTGTCATTTTTTTTTTTATTTCTTTATTTTACATTTTAGTATAGGGTCTCACTACATAGATGAGACTTGTAGTGATCTCCTGTTTTTGGCCTCCCAAGTCCTGGGATTACAGGCCTTCACCACCATGCCCAGTCTCAATCACTGTCTCAGCATGCCCAGGGGCGCCTACATCTAAGCAGAGGCTTTAATCCCCTGAGCTATCTGGCTGGTCCTTTTCTGTCATTTAATAATATCCTGATAACTCACTTTCCAATTTCCTTACTATCTCATTTAATCTTTTTACAGATGGTTTAACAGGACCCAACAAATCCCCCACATATCTGATTTGGTTAATGAGGTCTTTTTCTAAACTAGTGAAGGGCAATTCACTTCCAATTTAATTTAGCAGATAGCTGGGTTTAGACTATGGTGGTTTGTTTCATTGTACAGTATTCTCCTCATAGACTGTACAGCAGGACTGTGCTTTAGACTAACCTTTATAAATAAATATAGCAAATGCACACATGCAAAATAATTCATATATGCACAATATATTATAATGTATTATAGGCTTATACCTGTTAGCTGAAATGTTATTTTAGGTTTTCTGCTTCTTTCAATCTATTTAAAAATTAGGTAATTATTAAAGGCAAAAATGCTCTAAAAAGTCTATCCTATACTCACCCATCTTTTTATTTTACAGAGGCTCTTAGAGGGACTCTACTGTATTATTGCCTTTTCTCACAGTTTCTAAATGTAATCTGCCTGCAGATTGCTTATCAGGCTGAATAAAATCTATAGGGGTATTCGGTGGCTAACCTGAATCAGTAAGTAACGAGGCATTTTTTGATTTATTTGGTTCTTCAGTACAGGCTAGCTGACTCAAACTAGTGAAGAAACAAAAGCAGAATTAATGTAAAAATCAGTAGTAATCAGTTCTTAACAGTGCTTCTCGAGACTTGGCTGCTAATTTGACGGATTTGAAGAACGACAACAATAAAATTACCAAAACAGTTCTCAAATCCAACACACCATGATGCCTGGGTTGACTCAATTATTCAAGTGGTCAAAACCTCAGTGTCACAAGATATTAACGCTAGACAACCTGTGATCCTTTGCAATACTGCTGTTGTTCTCAAGACATCAAATTTACCTGGCGTGCCTTTCGTTCGAAATTGTAGCATTCCGTCTAGCACAAGATCTAGTTTCCTCTTGGTTTGCCAGTAGCTACTTAATATTAACAGCTGTTTCAAAAGTGCTCTGAGCAGGTCGCGCTACAGGTGCTACACAACTGCAAACCGGATATAAGAAAACCTTAAGACCCTACTCACAATAGCTTGTTTACATAGGCATTCTACTACAATTTTCTGTGCATTTATTCTTATGCCCATTTCTTCCTAAAATACGTATTACATGTACTGAAAGTCTAGCTGGCAGTTAAACTGAGCTCCTCTGCGTGGCAATTCATTTTCACGACACAAATTGCGATCATCGTTCACACAGATAAGGACGGCTGGGGAACCGACTGCGGGCTGGGTTTTCGCTTGCAACTCGACTACCTTTTTAACTCCTCCAGTCGTTAGTGGTAGGGCAAAACTGGGTTAAAAACAAAAAAACAAACAAACAAAAAAAGACAAGTCCCGGCCGTAGTGCACACCCACTCCGGTAAGCCCTCACGCCTCCGGCTCCAACGTTTCCATCCCTCAAGAGGCTTTTCAAGGCTGTCTGCGGACGCACTCTCGCAATCCTTCTCCCCGAACAGATTCCCGAGGAGGGGCAGATGGACAAACCCTGCAAGCCACCCAGACACCGGGAAGAGGCGGAAGCACGCTGAGGCCGTGGGGGAGACGGAAAAGGCTAGGCGACCAAAAGAGAAAGCGCCGAGAAGGGGGCGCCGCCTACCTCCCCGGTCAGCCCCGGGGCCGGACGCTGGGGAAGCCGGAGGGCAGCTGCGGCTCGGCGGGAACACGCCGCGGCGCATGCCGGGAGCCGCGACCGCCGCGCGCCGGGCCGCGCCGCTGTTCCCTCGGGCCTCGCTGCTCGCTTGTGGCCAAAAGTAGCAGCCCGCTTCTCCTTTTAAGGCACGCGAGGGGCCGCACTTGATTCGCCCGGCGGAGGAAAAGGTGGTCACCCCGGGCAGAGTGAGCCGCGCCAACGTCCCCGCTCCCCGTGGAAAGGGCAGATTCAGGAAACCCGCCACCCTCCGACTTAGCTCCCATTCAGACCCTTGGTAAAGAGGCGGCTCGGCCGCGCTTCCCCTTTAAGGAGGGGCGGGGCGCAGCCTGCCGTTTGGCTGCCTTCCGCACCGTCCCCCCAGCTGGGCGCTGACCGACCGACCAATCGCCCGGGTGGCGGAGGGAAGGCGGGAGAATGCGAACCCTTCTGTCCCGCGGTAGGGGCGGGGCCCGGGCCTTATTAGGAGTGCGTCCTGCGCAGGCGCAGACGCGGCTGCAGCGAAGGGGCGGGGGCAGGCCAGTGAGGGACTCTCCGACAGACACGGAGGGCGACCAGGGGAAGAGGCGGCGAGGGGATTGTCATGGGGATCCGCGCCGCCACACGGCCTTGGTAGCATCTGCGGAGCCCGCGGGGGTCAGGAAGTGTCAACGCCCGGGTCCCCAGCGCCGGCTCGGCCGGGGGATCCCCGCTGCTCCAGTCCTGAAGAGGGAGGGGGCTCGGCGGGAGCCCTGATTTTGCCCCGCCCCTGGCTTGTTACCGCGGGGGCGGGGAGTGAGGGCTGCTTTGGGGGGAGTGGAGATCGGGGACTCGGCGGCGCCTTCCCGAGCAGCGGCCGGTGTCCCCGCGGTGGCGGCCGCGGCTGTTGCATGCGTGGCTGCTGGATGCGGAGGCGGCGGCGGCGGCGGCGGCAGGATGTTAGGGCAACAGCAGCAGCAACTGTACTCGTCGGCCGCGCTGCTGACGGGCGAGCGGAGCCGGCTGCTCACCTGCTACGTGCAGGACTACCTCGAGTGTGTAGAGTCGCTGCCCCACGACATGCAGAGGAACGTGTCCGTGCTGCGAGAGCTGGACAACAAGTATCAAGGTAGGCGGCGGGCTGCCCGCGCGCGTCCCCCTCGCGATCCGCCGGCCTGGGAGCCTGCCCGGGGAGCGCCACTTTCCGTGTCCGTGACAGTCCCCCAGAGCGCCGGGGCGCCCACAGTGGGGACAGCGAGGAGGTGCGGAGACCGCGCCCGGCCGGGTAAGGTCGGCGGGACTCCTGGGGGTCCCGGGTGGGGGCGGGGGCCGCCCGTCAGCCCCGCCGCAGACCCAGCGGCTGCAGCTGCCGTGGAAGGGAATCAGCCATTTTAAGCGAACATTGGTTCCGGCGTTCGCCCGCCCCGCGCCGTACTCTGGCCGGCCCGGCGAGCGAGTGCGCGGGTCCGAGGGGCCCGGCCGTCCGCGGCCCCCGGCGCCACCCCCGAGGGCAGAGGCTTTGGAACGTGCGGGGGAGGGGGCGGCAGGGCGTGCTCCGGAGAGGTCCGGGCGCGGCGGGGCTCGGGAGTGGAACAGTCAGTTCTCCTCTCCCGCCCCGGGGAAAGTTCCGGGCTCCCGGGTGCCTCAGTCTTTCCCGGGCTCCCTCGGTCGAGTGGTGAAAGGGGAGGGCAGGGGTGCCCCCGGCGGGAGGTGGAGAGGGGGTGTGTGGCGGGGAGGGCCCGGGTCCCTGGGCGGGGCCTCTGGCCGTGACGTCGACGTGGGCGGGGCGCGGCTCGCGCTCCCGCTGGTCTGAAAATGGCTGGTCGCCCGCTGGAGGGGCCGCGGTGGACCGCGCCCGCCGGCTGGGCGGGAGCTCGACTGGCTGTGGCGTCGGTCGGGCCCCAGCGGGATCAGTGTCGGAGTTTGCGGTGTACTGTATTTGTTGTCATGTTTTGACTCGTTCCCATTCTGCGGACGGGGCGGGGTAGGGAGGCAGCTGCTGCCCGGGCTCGGCGTGACTCCTTGGCAGTGTGTGTCACTTCCGGGCCCCAAGAGGAAGTGGGTTGGTTGACTGGGCAACCGCAGGGCGTCCCTCTACCCCTGGGTTCCTCCAGAAAGTTTAAGTAATGAGGCCAGAATCGTCGTTTGTGAGCAGAGAAGCCGGGATGGGGAATCTTTGTCTGAGTGTCGCTTATCATCCACCTTGCCCTTGCTACTTGAAGGAAAGAAGTTTAAATTTAACGTTTCTCTTTTAATAACCCTAAATCAAGAAGCTGACTTTAAGGCGCAAGGGCTTGAGTTCAATCCCTGGTTCCGCAAAATAAATAAATAAAAATAAATAAGTAAAAGCAGCAGACTTTAGGCCTAATGTGGAGCTGGCCATACAAACATTAAAGAGAACTTCTTGGTTCCATTGTCTTTCCCTAGACACACCGCTAATTTTGCAATTTAAAGAATCTATCTCTGGGGTGACATTTTCTGGCCTGTAGCATGTTGGAACGACTGGATGTCTCTTTAGAAATCTAAATTTGTTTTCTGAACTCTTATGAGTGATAGGTCTAATCTTTGTTCGGGAGAATACCGTTTGCTTACTGTTTTTGCCAGTCATTACCTCAGCTCCAGAATAAGTGAAGCAAAACCTAGATAAATACAAATCTGCAGATTAACTTGGTAATTTATTGGAGAGTATTTTGTTCTAAAGGCAACTATTTCAAGGACACTCCTTGTTTTGAGAATATGTAAACTTTTCTTTCCTTCCCTCCTTTCCTTTCATCCTTCTTTAAAATATGATCCGTCCAGTAATATTTTCGCAGATATGGAGCACATATATGAATGGTTACCTAATATGAGATGTATGTGCTTAAGAATTAAGTATTGAATATTTTTAGTTTATCGAGTGACACTGATGTTTGTAAAGCTTACACATTTTTTTATTTCTTCAAAGGCATGTGTATGTATGCTTTCACAAAAGTTACTCTGCTTTAGGTTTTAATTTGTTGACGGAAAAATATGCTTTCTTTCCGTGTGTGTGTGTGTGTGTGTGTGTGTGTGTGTATGTGTTGAGGGATTCACTACCAGCTCAAACTCATAGTGATCCTCCTGTTTTCAGCCTCTAGTGCTGAGATTACAAGCATGCACCACCATACACAGACTCTATAGCCGGCTCAGCATGCACGGGGTGGAGGGCACAGCATATGTGCTAGGGATCAAACCCTGGCCCCTTTGCTTGCCTAAGCAAGCGCTTAGTCCATTGAGCTATCTCGCTGGCCCCTGAAAAATAATGCTTTCTGATCATCTAAAATTATTTTAAATTGCCTTGATAACGTAAGTAGTAGGTATTACAGGGTTGGGAGATATCTAAAAATCCTTAGCTTTTAGGATTGTGATTACTTTCAATATTTATACCAAACAGTGATCTAGTTTTCACTTTATGCATATGGTTACTAAGTTTCAGCTTTTGCAGCTGCATTTATTGGCTTTATATAATTTTGTGTTAATTGGTTTGGATTTGATTTTTTTTTTTTCCCCTCACTACTGGGGATTGACTCAGGACCTTGCGCTTGCCAGGCAAGTGCTTATTCTACTGAGCTATCTCCCCGGCTCTAATTTGTTTTTTTTTTTTGATAGCTCAAGTATTTTCTGGCTTGGAATCTAATACTTGATTCAGTATTTAGTGATGTAAATTATATAGGAAATGAAATAAAGTTCTCCCTATTGGAGACACTATCAGAAATTACTGAGGAACTCATCAAATAGAGAAAAGAAATTAAAAATTGATGAAGTTATCATGGGATGTGGTTACTAGATAACTTATTTTTGCTCCAGAGTTCTTATTAATAATTTCATAGGTTAAAAAAACCTTTGGACTAAAATCTGTTACTTAAAGTGCTTTTTATATAGAAAGTGTTTAAATTGTGAGGTCAGATGTATACAAATCTAGCAGTGGTGAAGTCTGAGAGTTTTACCTCTTGAATATTATTTTCTTAACATATAAAAGTGATTGCTTCCTTGTGGGTTTGCCATAGTTAATTGAGAAAAACTGCTACATAGAGGAGGCTAAATAAATGTTAATTCCTTTCCTCTATATATAATTGAGATGTCTTTTAAAATGTGAGTTTTTATTTCGTGAACAGTACGTGTTCAAGTATGATATATAATTAACGCTTGATTATTAGAAACTACTTGAATAACTTATTTTTAATCTTTAAAAATATTTTTGTATCTGATAAGAAAATATCTAATTGCCTTACTTTTCCTGTAGGAAAATTAGGTTTTCAGGAAATTACTTATATGTTTCACTGAGGAAGTGGTATAGATAGGAACTTTGTTCAGAAATGTTGCAAATATGTATACCTTTCACTGTGGTGGCACTTTGTCACTTATCCTAGGTTAGGCAATTGTCTACCATAAAGGGTAAGTACCTGCAGCCTTAGGGAGGAACTAATCTGTGTTGAATGTTTATGTTACTTTACTTGCAGATAGTTCCAATGCATATATTTCACTTAACATTTCTGTTCTTTAGAACAATATTGAAATATAAAACAGGGGTATGGCATGCAGTGGTAATATTACAATATGAATCAGTGGTATGCTTTATAGTGTAATAAATTTGAGTTGATACTTATTTTCTACTAGTAGGACAGAATTCTTTCAGATACCATCATACCTTATAAGAAATAGAATAAATTTTAATAAAAGGTCTTAAGTATATTTTTGGTAACATCTGAAACTGTAAATTTAGATTTTTATGTCTTCTAGTGACTCAGCCATTTTTATTTGATTCACTTGCTACACCACTAAATAAGCACTTGTGAAAGCTTGGAGCCAACTGCTGAATTATCTACAAAGGCAGAATGATCCAGTGCTGACTTTACTGTAATTTTTTTGTAGCCTGGTCAGTTGATGTCAGAAACAATGGCCCTATTCTAGAAATTGTTTGATTTTTAAAATTTCTTATATGATACTAAAAAAAAAAAAAAAAAACCATTAAAACTAAGAAATAAGAAGAAGCTAGAAGTTGCTGTTATTTTCCTAAACACGAATTGCAAAAAAATGTCAGGGTATGATGGGAAAAGGTAGCATAGCTTTCTAGAATCATGTAGCAGGTCATTGATTGAACAATAAATTCTATAAACACAGTTGGCAGTAATGTATAGCTTTGTCCTGGGATATTTTCAAATACTGTAGCTGGACTGCAGCATATTAATTTTGTATATAGGTTTTTTTGGAGTTCAAATGAAGTATAGACAATGAGGCACTAGGTAGGTTGTAAAGTGGAATGCAGTATTCTTATGTGAAGTATTTTTGGTCATTAGTCACATATCAGATGCTTCTTAATATAAATTAGTAATATTAAAGTTTTATTTTTTTCATTAGTTTACTTCTAATACGGTTTTTATTGAGTAATGTGATCTTTGTATGGGGAAAATGTTTTACTGAAGGAGTGTGACTTCAGCTTTGGATAGTTCTAACTTGAAAATCTTGTATGTGCTAATGCACAAAATGGTCTCATTTTTCTTTTCCTTTTTTAGAAACATTAAAGGAAATTGATGATGTCTATGAAAAATATAAGAAAGAAGATGATTCAAACCAGAAAAAACGCCTACAGCAGCATCTCCAGAGAGCACTGATAAATAGTCAAGAATTGGGAGATGAAAAAATTCAGATTGTCACACAAATGCTTGAATTGGTAGAAAATCGCGCAAGACACATGGAGTTGCATTCACAGTGTCTCCAAGATCCTGCTGAAAGTGAACGAGCCTCAGATAAGGCAAAGATGGATTCTACCCAACCAGAAAGATCTTCAAGAAGACCCCGTCGACAGCGAACCAGTGAAAGCCGTGATTTATGTCACATGACAAATGGGATTGAAGACTGTGATGATCAGCCACCTAAAGAAAAGAAATCTAAGTCAGCCAAGAAAAAGAAACGCTCTAAGGCCAAGCAAGAAAGAGAAGCTTCACCTGTTGAGTTTACAATAGATCCCAATGAACCTACGTACTGCTTATGTAACCAAGTGTCTTATGGGGAAATGATAGGATGTGACAATGAACAGTGTCCAATTGAATGGTTTCACTTTTCATGTGTTTCACTTACTTATAAACCAAAGGGGAAATGGTATTGCCCAAAATGCAGGGGAGATAATGAGAAAACAATGGACAAAAGCACTGAAAAGACAAAAAAAGAGAGAAGATCGAGGTAGTAAAGGCCATCCATATTTTAAAGGATTGTCTTTTATATAATAATTACTTTCAGAAAATGTTTTAGGATAAATGCATAAGACTATGCAATAATTTTTAATCATTAGTATTAATGGTGTATTAAAAGTTGTTGTTCTTTGTCTGTGACCTTAATTTTCTGCACTGAATTACCAAACATTGAAAACCAGGTAGTCTTCAGATCACCTGATGAAAGAAGCAGGGAACAGGGAGAGTGGTATGAACATTATAAAAACTTCACAAACCACAACTATTTCATTTTTACTTAAAACTTCAATGCTGTCTTGGTTAAACACAAAAATTTTGCTAGCATTTTGGTTCTGTGCATTAATAATTTAGGTATACTTGAATTTCTCTATAAACATAAAGTTATCTTGGGTAATTTAAAATACGGCCACTGTTCTATTTAGAGCTGCTTTTTCCCTAGACTCTTTTATACATATACTTGTTAATCTCTAGTCTTCCAGAAATTTGAGAAACTAGAGGTAAGAATTATTTGGGATTCCATGTGGAATAACATGCTTTTACTAGAATATGTGCTGCTGTATTTTCCTTAGTAGCATTTTGATACACAGTCGGTAGCCCATTTGTAAATGTTTTCCTGCTGCTTCAGAATAGATACATTTAATTTAGTGTTTATTAAGGGAGTTACTATTTTGTGTTTTAATTGGGACAGGTAAGAGTAGTTGAGATATCAAAAAGGCTTCCATTGACTTCCATTGGCAAAATTTAGGTTATATAGTATCATGGTTCAAAGGTTGATCAATTTTTAAAATGCATCTTAACATTCTCCATGTGATTCACTGCTCAGATGCCTAGCTGCAGGCCTCTCAATGGAAAAAGGTCATATACTAGTCTTTATAAAATACTGCCTTTAGGTCAAACAATTGTTTTAAATAGCTTTGATAGGGGTATAGTTCATTTCTGTCCTGATCAGTCACTATACATTATTTTAAATAATAGTGTATTTACTTTCTGAACTTTCTGGTATTGGTGCTGTTTGATGTTTTCATGTTTAATGAACTAATTTCATAACAATGAATAATATATTTGTTAATTGAATTTTCCAAGATTCCAATATTTTAAGGGTAAGCATCTTGATGGATATATGTTTGTAAGTTTAGAGCAATTTCTGATTTTGGAGAACCAGCAGAACAGTCCTTTAAACCTATGTATAACCAGCTCTTTAGTCCTCATTTCTTCCTAATCTGATGATCTCAATTCATTTTGATTGACATTTGAAAAGTTTTGTCTCCTTGTTTGGGGAAAAACATTTTTAAAATCTTCTAGTTCTCCTATGTTACTTTCAGGCATGACATTTTACCTGAGTGTCAGGTCATTCTCCTATATAGTCTCCTATGAAATGAATTATATATCTCCAAAGTTCTTTTGAAATCTATAGTCTTTGCCTAGCATTGAAAGATTTTAAAAATTAAATGGCTGTTTTTCGCTTTCGTTAGTGTTCTCTCCATTGTGAGATACAAAGAAAGTTTAAAGATGAGCTTACATAGTATGTACAATAGTTGACTAGGTTCTGTCCTAAGAATATTTTAATTGATTATGAGATTCAGTTGGTTATATTACTTCTTAAGATATATTAGCATGAGTAATAATTTATTTTACTACAATTTTGTTGAGTTTTAAAGACACTTTTTTCTTGAGAATATAGCATTTAAAATTTTTATGGTATTGTTAGTAGAGTGGAGCTGACACCATTGAACTGGCACCAATTTGAGTAAATCCCCCAGAGCCTTCAGATATGACTTATATAGAAGTCACCACTTTTTTTTGTGTGTGTATAAATTTGGCTCAGTATATTGAGGCGGAAAAAAAGTAAACCTAATAGAAGTAAGTACCCAAGTTTGGATTAGACTTAGACAGGCAAATGAACCTAGAAAATCCTGAATATGCTCTCATTAAGACCTTGTGTTTGAAATAGTTATTTTTATGAATTTCTTTTTGTTTTCTATACCCCGTGGGAAATAGAAATCCTAGGTTTATATAACTGTGACTGGGATTTCTTTTGTTAAATATTTAAGATCTCATGTTCTGTTTCTATCTTGGTTACTAACTCAAACTATGTACCAGTTGGTTCCCAACTTATCTCGTATTGGTATCACCTTGAGAGCTTCAAAGAACACTTGATAAGCTGGGGATATAGCTCAGTGTAAGCACCTGCCTGTCAAGCGCAAGTTCCAGAGTTCAATCCCCAGTACTGGAAAGAAAAATAACAAAAAAAAACCCTTGATTCCTGGTCCCAACCCCAGTAATTGTTATTAGTTCATTTGGAATAAAGCTTAAGCATTTATTTTACTTATTTTTTTGGCGGATCTGGGGATTGAACTCAGGCCCTTGTGCTTGCTAGGGAAGCACTTAGTCTGCTGAGCCCTCTCCCTGGCCCCAACATTAGAATTTTTTAAAGAACCTCATTCTAAAGTACACACAAGTTTTGGAACCACTGCCCAGTTTTGGAAATTATGGCCTATTGAAAACTGCTAATGGGATTCCAACATCCGGTGTCACATGTCTGTAATCCCAGCACTTAGGAGACCGAGGCAGGAGAATCAGTGTGGGCTACATAATAAGCTCAAGGCCAGCCTGGACTACATAGCAAGATCCTGTCTCAGAGTACCACCCCCCCAAAAAAGAAAATAGATTTATACAGCTCTAAAACATATATGAGTGCTGATATATACAGGAGAGATTATCCCCTGACCACTGTAATATCTGAGAATTCAATAACTTAAGTGTTTTTGTGTATCAGGCACAAAGTGTATTGGAAGAATTAGGTTTTTGTGAAAGAAAAAGCCCCTGCTACTCCTGGATCATACGTTCTAGTGCAAGATCAGATATATATGTCAGGTAACTAGGTAAGTGTTAAAGTGAAAGTAAGCCAGGGTAAATGGAAAGTTAAAGGGGAGACAAGTATTATAAGGAAATGAGACAGGAAATTTGGAAGAAGAATGAGCTTGTCAGTTTGATTAAAGCACAGTGTTAGAACATAGTGTGAAAGGGGCTAGAAAATAGAGGCTTCTCACAAGGCACAGTGGAAAATTTGGCAGCCATTAAAGGATTTGGGCCATGGTCTGACTTGGATTTAAAGGTCACTGTACACTGTGTACAAAATTTATTGTAGGTAGCATAGTTAGAAATCAGGAAACTTAAGACTCAGAAGTCTTTGCATCAAAAATGATGGTGGCTCATTGTTGGGTCCTGAGTAATAGAAATGATGTCCAGTAGTAGGTGTCTAGGTTTTAATAAAGACACAGCCAATAGAACTTTGGTCCAGGAATTGGAGAGCAAGGTAATAACAAGGGTAACTTCAGTTTTGGGCCTGAGGGACAAAAATTACTCTCTGATACCTAGGAACCCAGCATGAAATCCTATGTATGACACATTAAGAGAGGGAACAGGAGAGTTGGAGAGTTGGTCTATAGAGTTTGAAATCAGGTGACTGAATTAGTGCTTCTCCAGTTTTTATGGGCCTGAGTTGTCTCAGTTTTAACTTGCAGATTCCAAATCAGCAGATCTAGTATGTAGATTCCAAACCTGCATTTCCAACAAGTTTCTCAGTGATGCTGATGTTGTGAGACCCACATTTTGAGTAGTAAACAAATAGATTCAGAAGAGAGTGGACCTAGGGTATTCTTAACATCCAAAAATAGGGGAGAGCTAGCAAAGGCGCCTTCTGAGGGCAATGAAATAAACCAGAAAAATGCTACACCAGAGTTGAGGAGATGAGTGTTTCAAAAAGGGAGACATGGACTCATTCACTGATAAGATGAGTGCTGAGAATTAACCATTAAATTGTTAAAGTTTATTAAGGTCAAATTTTGGAAATGAAGGTGTGCCTGGAGAAAATTATGAGCAGGAGGGAATTGAAGTGACAGCAACTGTATAGATACTGAAGTTTGATATAAAATGTTGCAGCAGTGTTTTTATTCACTTATTCAAATAGTTACACATGTATTTGCAAAGCATTATTAGTATATGTGGTGCTGAAGCGAGCACTGCAAAGCATTATTTTATGTACTGGGGACAAAGTAGTGACCGAAAAAGCTTTTTTGGTAACCTGATTGTGCTTAGATTATTGGGGTTCATGGTGTAAAAGCACATAGCTTGTGAAATTTGGTACTTTGGAAAATGAGATCATACTCTTAATATCTTCTACTTTCTCAGTGACAAAGCTAAGGGATAAAGCTGTCGAAAATCTAGGAACTAGAGGGATATGTGAACAAACTGCCTGGGAAAGTGAATAGTGAGTAGATAACAGTTGGAATAATAGGTAAACTGAAGATTTTAGTTACAACTTCAAATGAGCTGAGGGCTTATTCTGTTGTCTATATAAAGGCAGGGGAGGAAAAAAGCAAAACACAAAAGAACTTAAGTGTTCAAAATTTCTTAGTAGTAAGTACAAATCACATCTTGTGGTCCTCTATTTTTTAACACAGGGTCTCACAATACAGTCCAGGCTGGTCTTGAACTTGCAGTGATCCTCCTGCCTCAGCCTTCTGCTGGGATACAGGTGTGGACCACTATGCCTTGCTCCTATGGTCTTCTTTATGTGCCTAGTGGGAAGCTTCTGTGAGGGCTTTGTCCTGTGATGGATAGGAGCAAGTCTTCAAGAAGCAAGTATAGATATGCTAGATGCACTTAGTTTGGCACAGTTCAAGTTATATTTTCAATGCAGTACGTTACTTGGGAATTGCCTTTACTGTGATCACCTAAATTGTTTACATCAAAGAAGCTACAAACACCATTGGCATAGGAATGCTCTAAATCAGGATTCCACAGATCTGTGTCCATGAGTTTGGTCAGGTCATGTCCTTGCCCTACAGTTTGTTCTTGTGGAAAATGATTTAATGTATGGTTAAATTAGCTGTGGCCATTATTCATATCCCAGGACATTAGTCTGAGTCTTACGGTCACAAACTTACTACTTGAGTAGTTTTCAAATAATGGCTTTTAATTTATCTAGGTGGTAACTAGATTAAAGCAGAATTTTCTAAACCTCGGACTGTAGAAAGATCTCTATGCATTTGGGCATTTCTATGTATTCTAATATTCTAAAATATTATATAATACTTGTAAATGGGCTCATTTTTTGTAAGTTTATTTTGAAAAGGAAA